TTGCAATCTATGCAATTAAAAAAAATGTGAACTGGCTCATGCTGTCCATCCATCTGGTTCCTCAACAGAAGGAGGTGGTCCAAATTGCTATCTTGGAGCAGCCAGTGGAGCGGGATCTCTGACTCTCTGCTTAACAGTCACATTATCTACAGCATTTTCTGTAAAGCCGGGATGCTGGCATCCACCACATGGTTTCATTTTGGTGCTTAAGTGATGTCCTAAGGTATCAGTAATGAGAGCATAGTAATATATTAATACATGTTATTCTTATCTCTGTTTATAGTTATATAGAACTAAATTTGCCGGCAATTAACAATGAATTGAGAAATAAGCCAAACAAACTAACAAACATTTTAACTTGGAAGCGAATGCAGCCCTTCTCATATATTCTTTGCTGTTAGGTGGCACCAAGTTGATTCGGACCTGTCGTAAACCTATGTACAATAGCTTGAAAGCCTGCCCAATCTCAAGCCACCCTCACAGTCCGCTGTGCCCAGGCCCAATGCTGCAGTCACTGTTTCAACCCATCTCCTCGAGTAGTCTTTTGTTGACCCTCTACTTTTTGAAGAATGATCGATCCTCCTTCCCAAGGACTGTTCCCTCCAGATCACATGCCAAAATTATGTGAAATGAAGTCTCACCATCCTCGCTTCTCAGGAGCACCGTGGTTGCATTTCTTCCAAGACAGACCTGTTTGTACTTCTGGCATCCGTGGGACATTTGATACGCTTCGTCAACACCATTCAGATCATATTTTTCCAGTGTTGAAGCCGGAAACAGGCTCTGAGTTCACGGTCATTGTCAAAAGCACTGTGTAGCTATATTAGGCAGACTTTGATTGTGCAATTAGTTTGGCATTCCAGAATCTGACATACTTTCCACCTTCTTGTCAAATTTAAGCGTATAATTCAACCTGTCTCAAAACCTTGATCCTAATTTCAAATTGTTCATATTTTAGGACACCTATAAATAATGTCTGTCTTTAAGAGGCTCTCCGGCTAGCATCACCTGTGCTTACTTTCATTACGGATGTTACAAAGTTTTCTTTACATAGATTTGGCAAGTCCTTAACTTTTCTCCAGTGTTCAAATAAAAAAGTCTATGGTCCTCTTTTCAAATGAAGTATAGGGGTGATAATGGCATTGTTCCAATGTGTCCTCTCTGGGCTGGGACTACATAAATGTCTAACTCGTTTTAGACGGGACATAGCTAAGCACTAATTAAGGGGGCCTAAGAACCTGTAGGCTGCCTCTCTTATTGTTGATCTTGTACAAGGGGAAGAAGGAGGTGGGGAGGGAGTTGTAAAAGGAATCCACTGTGTTCTAGGCAGGCCACATATTGCTTCTTAAGTGAACAAAACAGGCCTGTGATGTAGGAATTACCTTCATTTTTTAAAATTAATTATCTTCATTTTAATGAAAAGGAAATACATAGGATAAATGAGTTATTTATGCTCATATAATTCATTAGAAGTGGAGCTGTCACTACAAACCCAGCCACATGTGACTGAATCCAAACTTTTGTTTCTGACTTTGGACTATCGTACCCTGCAGTGGGGTTATGACATGTCACTACAAGGCTGGGAGAGTTTAAGGAGTATGAATATGTTGTTGTTATGTGCGGTGGAGTTGGAATGGACTCAGTTGACCCTCCCGCGGATATGCAGAGGCAGTAAATCTCGAGGATTCCTATCCTTCTTCTATAAAGTAGCTGATGCATTTGAACCAGGTGCCTGTGGGATGGCAGTGCCGCCTATTACCACTAGGCCACATGAGATATAATTGTTCCAAATAGTTAAGCAATTTTTCTCAGGAAAAACTCGCTTCCTGGACATTTATCATTCTTATACCTGAAAAAGCTGCAAACATTCTCTATCTACTTTTTTTTTAACACAGGAAGAGGAGGCCACAAATATAACTACTGGCAGGCAACTTCTCCTAGAAGCACACCCTGCCACCCTTTCATTTATTATATAATTTTATTATAAAAATATATTTACATATTAATAAATA